TTGGATAAGTGATTTGATTTATATAATCTTGTTTTGCAGTAGTTTACTTTTGCCAGAGCCTTTTATCTGTGTTTATCTGCCAGCCCAAGCCGGGACTGATAAAAAACACTCCTTTGCAAGCTTTGTGTGGCTGTCGATTCTGAACGAACAAGGTGGGGGTCAGAACAGTCTTGTATGTCTTCCATTTTCTAATTATTGCTCCCACAGTTGATTTCTTCACACCAAGCTGCTTGCCTATGGCAGATTCAGTCTTCCCAGGCCTCTCTCATCTTTTTAAGTGGGAGAACTTGCACAATTGGTGGCTGACTAAATACTTTTTTGCTCCACTGCATTTTTTTTTTAAAAGCAATCCTAATATGTTAGAAGCTTCAGTATATAATAATCTATTTTTTTTTAAATCAAAAGGACAAATCCTATATATTATGCAGAATTGTCAGGCACATACGGAATATAATGCATATTCAACAGAATGTCTTGTATGACCTGTATGTGAAAAGTTGCATTGTCAAGTCATGTGTTTTAGTAATGCAGATGTAAGTGAGATAGAGGCCAATTTGAAAGGCCAAGGAGGCACTCCCATTAATTTACTACTGAAGAAGCTTGACTTTCTGACAGAAAGAAAAGAACGATGAAGGCAGACTAAAGATCACAGCAAATAAATGTAGTCTTGATTTAAAATCAAATTGCATCCCAGATAATTATAATGACATTTTTGTCTTTTTTTTTTTCTTTAAAGCATTTTAATTCAAAAGAGGAAATGTATCCAGAGGGCAGTTTTACTGATGTCAGTGTTGTAGAAATTGAAGCTGAGGACAAGAAATCCCTTTCAGACCAAGATCTGAAGCCTTTTGACTTGCTTAGAAAAGAGAAGAATGCCTCAGAAGGTCACAGCAGTGGAATAGGCGGCTCATCCTGCATGTCTTCTCCTCGGCAAAGTGTTTCCGATAGTGATGAAGGGGAACCTGCTCAGAACACTTCCAGCACCGTCCAGTACTCAACTGTAATACCCAGTGGCTACCGGGATCAAATTCCTTCAGTGCAAGTCTTTGCCAGGTCTGAATCTACACAGCCTCTCTTAGATTTAGAGGAGAGGCCGGAGGACCAACAGTTGCTTGTAAATGACAGTGCAATGCCCAAGCATCGTTACTTCAAGCAAAATGGTAGCTGGGATGACACTGCCACAGATTTTGAAAAAGTGGAACAGATTTCTCCAGTAAGTGAGGAAGATACTACCAGGCTTCCAGCATCACAAATGGGGGAATCTAGCCCAGACACAGATAAACAGGGAATGGACTTCGTAGGTGCATTTTCTCCTAACCTAATGGAACAGGCTGGGCAGCTTGAAAACAACACAGATATGGTAACCAATGAAGAGGTGCCCAAAAGCTACCTTCCACAGACTGTACAGCAAGGTGGTTATATGCCCCAGTGAAAAGAAAATACTGTTATGGCATTGCTCTGATAAGTTAAATAGTTTTTTAAAACCATGCTTCAGGTGAAAATCAGGCTCATCTATGGAAGCTAATTTGGACAAGGTGGAATTTGGGAAATTTGAATAGACTTTTAAAGGAAAATTTCTAGACTTCTACTGAATTTTTCCTTCAAGCACTACATATATTCAACTTCATTGATATGTTTATTACATTTCAGTTGTGTCCTGGGCATTCCACTTTATTTTTAATGTAGAATATAAAGCTGCATTCATTTTCATGAAGACATACAAGCCAGGAGTTGATAATTGCAAATACTGCCCTGCACTTAAGACCATAAGAGGTTAAACTGTACATTACGAATGTTCCATTTGTGATTGTCTAGCACCGACATTTGAAAAATAGTGTTTTAACTACAGTGAGAGTTATCCAGAAGCAAATAGTTTACTGCCTATCTGGCCAAACATAAATGCTTCAGGCAGAATATAAACATTACATGGGTCTAGGATAGCCCCATAATTAACTAACTAAAACTGTTTTGTTTGCTTGGGCTCTTTCTCTGACTGTAGCATGTTATTTGTGTCAGATAAGGACTGTATTAATTGAGTGAATGATCAACTAATTGAATCATCATCATGTCAAAAAGTTGACTGCTAATATTTCATGTTGACTTTTGACTGCCAGTATTTTCATGCCTTTGGATCTTGCACTTTGAGCCACATCTGCAGAAATGTAAATAGTACATTTGGAACTCAATCCTATAAAGTTAAATGAGTGTATGCTTATTTTTATTACCATATAATCATAATTAGGGGGCAATTGTTATTAAAGAGGAATATATACCATTCTTTCGTTAACTGCTAAATGCCAGGTTCGGGCATTACATTGTGTGCATAATTATGAAGGCTGGAAACTATGCAGCTGAGTTATTGAAGACACCATGCTGAGCTGTGGACTGTTTTTCAGTTCAGTTCTCTCCTACCTATGAAGAAATTTATTCAGTTCCTTTGGTTCATACTAGTTTATTAAAAATAATTCCCACAATGCATTACTAGCCTGAATGTCTTTTGATGCAGTCCAGGAACACTAAAGTATAAAAATTAAAGCTTATTTGATTGGGGTTTTTTAAATAATTTCAGTATGTGTATATATTAAAACTTTATAAATCATCACCGTGTTCATTTTCATGTTGCTCTTTTTCTTCAGGAGTGTATTATCAGTATTATCTGGCATTTATACAGTAGACAAGCTGATAAGTTATACAACACAAGCTCAAAATATAACCACAAATATATTTAATCATTTTCAAAGTTTCAAGTGTAAAATTGACTCTGAACATGGATGTATTCTTGCCATAGCCTTAAAGTGGCCTGATCTTACTCTGCTTTTTTTGCACCTGTCATCCTTGGAAATGAAGTCAATGCACACCTAGTTAATCACAAATTTATTATGATTTGGCTTTTGAGTTTGTTTTCTCTTTCTCAGGAATTCAAATCACTTTTTGAAAATTAACAGTTTGATGCCTATTCATTGAAATTATCCTACACTGAATCCTCGAAAATGAGCAGAAATTGTTAATTGATGAAAATGAATCTATTTGTAAACATAATCCACAGTTCTTGCCAAGTTGTTCTCAAATCTTGGACGAAAAATTTCCAAGCACAATGGAGAAATTATTGACTCCCTATCTTATGGGGTAGTCAGTCCATTATTTTGTATCTGTTTACATCGAATTAAATGTCATTGCTGTAGGTGAAAGCACCTTTCAATGTTTTTTTAATAGCAGTTCTTAGCTGCTTATCTGAACCTTTATATTTTTGAAAGTTTTCAGTCTACCATATAAGCAAACCATTTTGAACATTTTTCCTCTTAAATACAGAAGCTAAAAGTCACCAATTAACTTTAGAATTTCTATATTCTAATTGTGGAATGCACCAAGAGCTTTCATTAACATTACACAAAAACACCATTATCTAAATTGGAGAATGCTATATGACATGGTGTTACTCAAAAAAAAATTACATCACAATGATGTAACTTCAAATATATAAGAATGGTGCTCAGAATTGTATTACTTCCTTATGATTTCTCCAATCTTTTGACCACCTGTATTAATCTCATAGATTCTTAGGTGGAAAATCTTTACATGGTTAATTCTCATTTTCCGTATACAGTATAATATAATTGCTAGCATGCAGAGCATTTTCTCAAGTTCACAATTACTATCTTAATCTGGAAAATGAGCAGAACATTGTGACAATGTCTCAAAAATCCCCGCTAGCAAAGGGATGGAAAAGGGGCTGGTTTTATTGTTTGTTTAATTAAAGTACCACCTTTCAAGCTGGCTTAATTTTTTTTTTAATGGCCTTCAAACCAAGTTTCGCTGAAGAGGCTTCCAATCTGAGCAAGTCTCAGTGTATTGGGCTTTGTTTCCTAAAGATGGATTCTCCCATGGAAAAATTTGATCATGGAAGCCGAGACAGTCAGCCTCAGTTCCCTCCTTCAAGATTGGTGTTTTTCCTGAACTCCAAGGAGGAAAACCCATCAGCCATATGACTCTTGCTGGAACAGTACTTTTTTCAAACTTGGCAGCTTTCCAATGAATGGAAAATTGGCTGGGGAATTCTGTGGTTGAAGCCCCCTCATCTTAAAGTTGCCAAGCTGGAAAAACATAAGACTGTCACGGGACATATTTCAGCATAAATATATTTTTACAAATTCAATTTATTTTAAGCCTCAATTTCTTTATTACTTCGAAACAATTACCTATCATGCCAATTATTTTTTTAAATTAAGCATTTACCCCAGTGTTGGAACTGGAACTCAATTCTTTTTGTTGTAATTTATATCATGATATGTAGCCCTTGGTTTTACCATTATTGTGATAATCCACTCAAGTTGACTTGGTTCAGTTCTGCTAATCGTCAAATAAATTGAATGTTGGATTGTAAAATTCTAATTGCCTGTGACAATAAATTAGGTAACATATACAACATTTTTAATTATTCTGTACCTTGTTTTTTTTTTAATACAATGAAGAAGCAGGTATTCCAGGTTTATTTTTATTACATCTGAAAGTAATTGATATTGATTGGGAAAGTATTTGTTTAGTCTTGAGATTTATAATCATAGCCTTGCATATCAATAAGAATGCTGCTCTTAATGCCTTAAGCTTGAAGGTAGATTAATAGGAAAGGAAGACAATCCAAAAGTTATAATGACTTTTTAAGGGTCTTCTGCTTTTTTGTTCTGATCTTTTCCTCAGGTAAAACCTTAAATGTTAGTATATATCAAAGCAGTTATTAATAGATGTAGAGGCTGTGTGAATAAATAAGCTGCTTACTTACAGAAATATCCACTAAGAGTTGAAAAAAATATTTTATCAGGTAGAACTATTCACAGGATGTAATAAAAAAAGACAAGATGTTGACCCCAGCAATGCAAGGCCTAGTTTTTATATGTATTGTTGCCATTTTAATTTTTTTGACCACACCCTGTGGACAACCCAATGACGACGACTATGGATCTGCTCATGGCCTCCTATGTAACTGTAGCTAATTAAAAATAGGCTAATTTGTGACATCATGAAGTAGCAATAGCACTTAGACTTGTATACCGCTTCACAGTGTTTTCCAGCCCTCTCTTAAGCGGTTTACAGAGTCAAGATATTGCCCCCAACAATCTGGGTTCTCATTTTACTGACCTCGGAAGGATGGAAGGCTGAGTCAACCTTGACCCTGGTGAGAAGGGAATTCCTGGAGAGAGAGCAATGAGTTAGCCTGCAGTGCTGCATTCTAACCACTGCACCATCCCAATATCACTATGCCTGATTAAAAATGGTGTCCCAGCATTGGGCTTTTGATTAGTATTAAATCCTAAATGGCAGCTTGATCATTTTCTATTTTTTGTCTAATTACCAATTGTAAAAAAATAAAATGATTTAATAATTGTAAATTACAATTGAGCATGTATGTTCTAAAATTGGGAATTGTTAAGGTGAAAGGAATCTGGAAATGCTCATTTTCCATTGCATGACAAAGTAGCATTAAGAACAGTGCTTCTCGACTTTGTCAACTTTAAGCTGTATAGGCTTCAAGAACCATGTTGGCTGGGGAATTCTGGTAGCTGAAGTCCACACAGAAGCACTGATTTAGGACTATAGACTTTTGCAAACTAATTCAATAGATACCTATCTTGATCAATATACCTTCCTCAGTCCTGCTTCCTATACTATTGTTTCTATCCACTAGATCAGTGTTTCCCAAACTTGGCAACTTTAAGACTTGTGGACTTCAACTCCCAGAATTCTCCAGCTAGCTCTTCTGGCTGGAGAACTCTGGGAGTTGAAGTCCACAAGTCTTAAAGTTGCCAAGTTTGGGAAACACTGCACTAGATACATATCCAACCAACTGGTATTGTAAACTGAAAGATTAATCTTTATGATTTACTTCTTGGTCCCTCCATGTAACAGATTCCTTCTTTGTGGACAATTGTAAAAGAAGATGCCTTTATACCCAGCTCTTAACTGAAAAGCATAAAACCAAAAAGAAATGATTTTTCTTTAAAATAGCTCTTTTTTTTTTAACAAAAGAAGCCAAAGGTGGAAGGGAAATCTGTTTCGTTTAAGAAATGAGAGTTAAGGCTGATGTGAAAGGACTAGAGCAGTACTCAGGACATATTTCATAGAAGCCTATAAGCAGCGCTTGCATTTATCAAATATTGTTGAAGAGCATCCAGTCCTAGATTTAGACTAAGGAAATAGGAAATTACTCATTTTGAAAAGTATTGTATTTGATTTGCAGTTTAATCTATTAATAGTGCAATTTACTGAAAGTAGCCACAAAGTTTTCACAGAATTATGTTATCTTTATTTGAACATTTATAGCAGCCAAAATCCTCTTTGCACTCCTTTTGCAAGAAGTGAAAGGGCCTACAGTACACTTATTTGGCACATATTGTTTACATGCCTACCTGGTTACCAGGAAAAATTCACGTTGCCATTGCCAGACATTGTTGCTTCATCTTTTTAACGATTTCAGTGAACATATAATGCTGACTGAATTTCTGTCCGTGAATCGGAGAGAACAGTTCTAAGTGACCTATGCTTATAGCTATTGTATAAATTGTCTTCTGGTGGCTAAGAAACTAAGAGTTAAATTAAAATGAAAGCAAAATAAGTCTCAAAAGTATGAATAAGGCAATCAAGCTGCTACTGTTGCAATGAAGATGTACACATTTGTTATTCATTATTTGATCTGAGAAATCTGGTCATTATGGCCAATTCAATTTGTATAATATACCAGTAATCAAGGTCTTTGACCCTTCCAGAAAGCTGTCCTAATACTCCTTCCTCATAATGTGAATGCATGTTTGTTACTGTATAAATGTGAAAACACTTATTGGTATTTAAATTTGTAGCTTTCAGTCTTTTCCTGAATTGCCATTTGCGTATTTCTTTGAAATCCATCTATAAACAATTACAAACTTGTTAGATAAAAGAGCTATTATGTTTTTTGTATTGTTGGCTTTTTATTATGTTTTTATTGCCTTTAAAATAATAAAATAAATTTATGTCATTTAATGTCATGTATTTTTCCATTGTTGTTTTCTTTTGAGATGTTTTGTTACCCTAATATAAGAATTACTGTTACTAATATAGTAATTATACATTTGCGAATTAGTGGGAGGGATTAAGGCTGCACACATGGGTCAAAATACATTGAAAAAGCTTCTAAACAATATACAAAACTTGTTTCTATAATATCCAAAAGCATACGCTGAATGCTACTATACCAAATGACAAGTGTTATTTTATTTAAATTATTTTGATACTACTTCTCATTTAAGAAGGAACAGGTTTACAGTTTAAACAGTTAAAACATACTAAGATGTTTTACAAAATAAAATAGCATCAAAGAAAAAAACTGCAATTATTTTTTTAAATCAACATTTAGCACATTACCAAAAGGCATGGGAAAATAAAAAAGACCAGGCATAGTCCTACCATAACTAGCAAGGAAGATATTCCATAGTCAAGAGATTACCAAGGAAAATGATAAATGTGTTTTTAATTTTTTGTTTTCTTTCAATTTTGTCTTGCTTCAAAGCATGAAAAAAAACCTGAAAAATAAAAAATTAACAAAGGAAAACAATATACATTTATAAGTAATATACTTAAGAAAAATATGATTATAAACAATCAATTAAAAAGTGGAAACCATGCAACATTTCATCAATGCAAAATTTTAATTTAGTATGGCAGTCTTCCACTGAACTATATTCCACGTTTAACCATAGCCCAAACTTAATAAATCCAGACTTTTTCATAAATAGGTTATTTTTAAATCTTTAGCAATAGCACTTAGACTTATATACCCCTTTCCATACCAGTTTGTATGTGTCAAATCCATCTTTTGCTTACACAAAAAACACAAGGGTTCCATCCAGTTCCTCAATATCAGCCAAAGGAGGAGAAAAAAGATGAAATACTGTACATTTGGTCAAAATCAGCATTTCTGTTCTCAACAAAAACTGACACAGATATGTAATCTAACATACATGAATCGTTCCTTGGGAGATAGTGAAGATATTTTTACTTGCCACACTGAACATTTCTGCAATGCAATCTATGAGATGGAGAATTCAGATCTTATCCTTTCTCCTCTTTATCAAGGAGAAAGTCATATTTATCTCACAGTCACAATTCTATAGATTTCAATGCTATTAACAGATCTTCATTTTAGATGTGTCCAGCAGTGCAGTAAATAATATGCAAAATAAGGAAGTGTTTTGTCAAGTGAAAAACGGAATAAGCAGATATGATAGTGGCTTCCTAGCTATTTCAGAGCTTCTAAACACCCTTATCATTTCATTGCAACCATTTGACATTTTTTCTCCTAATCTTTCTGTTTCAAGAAACTCTAGTTCATTTCAACACTGGGTAGATGATGAAATAGTTTAACATTCAGAGAGACGGACACTTTTGAGAATCACCTCTTCAGGCAAAAGCATTATGGCATTACTAGAAACAACTTTCACCCAAGAAATCTTGAACTCTGACATACAGTAGTATATGAACTGAGCCGAGGTGGAGCAGTGGTTAGGGTGCAGTACTGCAGGCCACTTCAGCTGACTTATCTACAGTTCTCCAGTTCTCACCGGCTCAAGGTTGACTCAGCCTTCCATCCTTCCGAGGTGGGTGAAATGAGGACCCAGACTGTGGGAGCGATATGCTGACTCTGTAA